GAGGATTTGAGATCATATTAGGAATGTTTTCCTGATCAACCCACAACTCTACTCGCAATATTGGACTCCCAGGTGGGTGAGTGAGAGTGAAACTGTTAGTATGCAAGTGTTGGTGTGTCCCCCGGCCTTTGCTGTGGTCTCCCCATCATCTCTGGTTCTGCCGTTTTGACTGCGGTCTACTCATATAATCTCTGTGTTGTTTATTGCGGACCCGAGCTGACGCTGGGACTGATACCTTTGCAGATTCGCCTGCCAGAAAAACTTTTATGATGAAATGTGAGGCAGGAAAAAGGGAGGTGAGGACAAACAGAGAAGCTGTTTTCTTTAAGCCTCTGTTTTACTTTTCTAACCAGTGTCCAGAATCCACATTTGGCTGTCATTGCAAGCATGAAAGAGGAAGTCAGGGAGAATGAGTGTGAGAATGAGTGAGTTTATGCATTTGTGTGCATGCTGGCATGTTTAATTGCAGGAACATGCATGTGTGCATGGAGAAAACTGTTGACTAAATGCATGCGTTCATGCACACCTCAGAGTGGTTTTTAGTTTGTGACTTTCTTTGTTTAACTAAATACCACATATTGCCAAGTATTAATAGTTTTGCAACCACAGAATCTTGAAAACATATCAAGGTCATTTTTTAAAATGATATGGTGCTGAGTGAGGGGCTGGAAAGCTTAAGTGAGGTTATGGGGGAAGATGGGGTGATAGAGATGTGTTTTTAATTCATCTATTCAGAGGAACGCCTCAATGCAATTGCCAAAATCCTTTTAGATTTTAACTGGGTGAAACTAAACAGCAGCGGCCCGTCTACTTCTCTCCCTCACCTTTCTATTTCTTTCTTTCTCTCATGTACATTAAAAAGCTGCGATTACAAAACAGAATGTGGTCCCTAGTGTCCAATTGCGGAGGTAGAATGAGTACCTCGGTTGTCCTGGAGACCGCAGGAGTTCTACTTTCAATGTTATCTCACTCATATGGAAACACAAATGCACAAACCTACAATGTCAAGGCTGGGAAATGTGGGCCTGTCCCAAAGACAACCAGGCTTGAGGACTTGAGGGATTTCTCACACCGACACATCACTTTGTCTCGCCACAGGACCCGCACCTTTAAATGGCAGTAGGAAAACTCCTGGAGTGTTTGTAGCATGGCTGGAGGGGTGGAGTGTTGAAAGAGAGGTAGAAGTGGCTCGGGTGAGAGAGAGAGAGAGAGAGAGAGAGAGAGAGAGAGAGGTGTTGTTGGAAGATGACATTGAGAAGAAGGGGAAGAGGGTGAAAAGGAAAATTGGAGAGGAAATTGAAGGAGAAGAGAGGGGTTAATCACCCTGACTTGTTAGCTGTCTATCATCTCAGCATGCGTGCCAGCTGATAAAGCCATACAGTATTTCCTGTAACAGACCTGCTGATAGAGAAGTAGCTTTAGCCAGTGGAGGAGCAGCATGCCAGTGGTGTTAATATGCTCCAGCCAAATGATCTGATAAGAATTCCCATCATCTCCATCCACCGTCTTTCACTCTTTCATTTATCTCTCCTCAAGCTTTCACCCTTGCTCCTCTCCATCCTTTTATCCCTCACTCCTCATCTATCCTCCTCTCTCCTTGTTTTTCGTGTACAGCGTCTGGCAGCAATGAGTGCTTTAAGAGGGTATTAGCGGGGCGTCTGTACAGTACTATCACAGCTTAGTGGGCCAGTGCAGGTGAGACAGCAGGGATTTCCTGTTAGGCCTCTCTGCTACATTCTTGCTAAATTGCTCCTTGCCAGGTGGGGTTATAAAGGGGAGGGGGTGGCGGGGGGCATTCTCTTCCTCTGTCTCATACACACAGTGACAAACATGTGCGCTTGCACACACAGTTCTGCAGCAGCACATGGGCATCGGCGCACGATAATGTGCGGGCACTAACGTACTGTACGTACAAAGGATTAGTGGTGTCACTGGTGTGCGTTTGTGTGTGTGCCAGCCAGTGTGGAGCGGAGGAGGACAGAGCAGGGCTCAGTATTAGACTCTGGTTGTCTGCCAGAGAAGCAATATGAGATAAATACTTCACCATCTTACACCTGGGGGTCCTGGACTGCTTCTAATGCTGCTACTTGAGAGGAGGCCTCTGTGTCTCTGAGGGCCTGCATGGTGCACTCTCATTTTACACATGCACACGCACGCACACACACATGCAAGCAGATAGGCACTAAGTGTGGTCCAAGATAGCTGTCCTTCCCAATTGTGTTGTCAGTATATTGTTGTCTTATTTGTTATTATTTTTATTTTTTCCACGTAAAAGTTCAAGTACATATGTACATAGGGTATCACAGGTGCTGGAATATGTGTTATTGAATTACGGAGAGACAGTGCAGGATGTTATGCTATGCTTGCAGTATAACATCACATCTTATATGCTAAATTTAGGTTTGTAACTCTCATACCTGTCGAATGAATGAACTGTAGTAGAGTAAAAAGTACAGTATTTTACTCTAATAGATTTAGTCTAAACTTGTATTTTACTCTTTTCCCCTAAAGTAGAATACTCAAAAGTGCAAAATGGAGCTTTTTTTTTTTTTTTTTTAATTGCTACTGTGGCTCTGATGCAGCTGCCGGTCCTTGTGTGTAGTCACTGTCTGGAGTAATGACCATCTGATCTGTTACACATCATGAGTAATAGCCTATCAACGCTGAAGGCTGCTGTGTACACAAACGGGCACAGACGAGAGCAGCTGCGGTTAACGAGCAGAGCTGTGTGTCGAAGGTAAGGTAGCAGACATCGTTGAAGTTGTAATAAACATCACAACCTGTACAATGAAGTTACAACAGCGCCACACTGACGAACAGGTTCATCTGTTGATCCAAGACACACCGAGCGGAGAGAGAGAGATAAGCTAGCGCTAACAGCTAAGCTAAAGTAACTAGCGTAGATGAACAGCGTGTAAACAACTGCTGAATTAGTGAAAGTCGCTAAAAGGAGCAGAGAGCTGTGAGTGCTGAAGCAGAACTAGTGTAAGTTTAAATGACCAGTGCGTAGTTAGTCATTGTAATGAAGAAAAGAGCAACATTAACTGTGAAAGTTAATGAAACTTAGAAAGAGCAGCAATAAACTCTACCAGCAACAGAAACTCCAGCTAACAGAAGGTGAGGCACTACATTGACTGCAGCACGTGAAGGGTCACTCACTACTGTTTTACCCAATGAGAAGTAAAATCACTGTAAAAATGTTCTCCGATCAAAGAACAAAGTAAGTTGGTTAATGTGTATTCTGAATATGTATACATATACATGTAGCTGCCTTACATTTCAAAAGGGGGTAGGGGTAAAACATGGTGATAATAATACTATATGATAAAACTATTAAATTAAAGAACATCTTTAGGTTACCAGGTGTATCAGTTCCAGGTGAGAACAGCGCCGAAAGCAACAAGTCAATTCCAGTCAGGCACTTTGCAGCCTGTGCATACAATGATGATGATGATGATAATTACTAATATACAGTACACTCAGTTGGCAATTTATTAGGAACCTCTAGCTAAATCTGATGCAGTCTTATACAACAGTCCTGCAGTAAATCCTCCATGAAGATTATAATGTTCAATAAAATAGTTTTAGACACTTGTTGATTCAACTCTATGATCATTTTGGAGGATGTAATGTGTGGAGCAGTTGAGCTGTATTACATTATACAGAGGTGTTTGTGTTATTTTGCCTGCCTTGGTATTGATTTAAATGGGAGTGGACAAAATAATAGAAACACCTGGACAGTTCCAAATATCAGCTATCGGTCTTCTTGAATACTAGTGATCGGTATGGGAAAAACCATATTGGTTGATCCCTGGCATGTACCTCAGAATTGTACTTAGTTACAGTACTTGAGTTAATATACTTAGTAAGTTTCTGTCAGTCGCTTCAACATACTCTCTCCTTTAATGAATCACCTTATGAGCCATGTGAAATAGTTGAGAAATAAGCCGGAGAGCACAACAGACACTGTGCCTTAAGTGTTCTCAAACTGTCCCCTCTGTGTCCAAGTAACACTTGTTAAACAACTGTTAACAAGCCCTCTCTTACTGCTTCCCTTTATCTAAGTGTGTGTGTGTGTGTGTCTTGAATTCATATAAAACACACATGCACATCTTAAAATTAGGTTCAAATGGGTTCACTCATTGTGCAACGGCAAAAAAGTGCTGGAAATGTAATCAGGTGTTGAAGAGCAACAGAGGAGCACATAGTCTGTTCTTGACAGCCAGCTGAGTGTGTGTATGTATTGGTTTGTGTGCATATGTGTGTGTGTGTGTGTGTGACTGTAGGCGGTGCAGCTGAACACTGATATATGTCCAATAAGAAGTTCTGGAGTGAGCTCAGATATCACTCATCTCACTGTGCACAGCCAGATATGGAGGATTTTTAATGTGTGAGTGTGAAGTGTGTGAGCAGTCTGATCTGTGGCAGCGCTGGCCCAATCATACAACACTCTCAGTAACAAATGATGGGATGGGCTCCAGGCTCCTTCTCACTCTCACACACATTTTTACTGCATCAGTCCACAGTGGTTCATATTATGGACATTAGGTCAAAGCTGAACTTTTACTACTTCCAAATGTCAACAAGTAAATGTGTTGAGCCATGTCAGTTCCAGGACTGAATAATAACATATGGGCCACCTGACTGAGAACTGGAAAAAAAAAATGGTGTCAGCTTTCCTGATCTCTTTTGTGTATTTCTTTGTATGTTTGTTCCTGTTTTTCATGGTCTGCTTCCTTCTAAAACATCTATTACAAATTACTTTGATCATATGTACTTATCTGTCCATCTGCCTGTCCAGATAAACTATGAATATTTGGTTTATATATCACCAATTCTGACTCCTATTTCACCTTTTCTCTTTATGCTGCCATGTGTATTAGTATAAGCCTTTGTCTTTATACAGCAGCTTCATTTCAAACTGTGCCTGAATATATGTCAGTGTAACTCCCTATTGACTTCTTATCTGAACTATCTGCACTTCTTTTGGTCTATTCTAGGTTGATGCTCTGCGGGTGCGTCTGGAGGAGAAGGAGCAGTTCCTGACCAAGAAGACCAAGCAGCTGCAGGACCTGACTGATGAAAAAAGCACACTTACAGGAGAGATCAGAGACATGAAGGACATGCTGGACGTCAAGGAAAGGAAGGTCAATGTCCTGCAAAAGAAGGTACGTGAACCCAGCTGACTACGGCATCATACAGTTTCTGTAAGTCCTCCACCTACTCTAGCAATACCTAAAGTACATATCAAAGAAATTCCCTCTAAGTTGGTTTAACTTCTTTTAAAGGAAAGTGTGACAGAGTCTACACCTAGTAGAAAGGCCAGATCATTTACTAGTTCAAAATCCTGTAACTGTTTCTTTCCCTTCTACATTTGGCAGGCAAAACTATTTCTGAGTGAATTACATTTTTGTAGGTAAACATATTTGATCAGTGACAGGTTTGTCTGACTGTCACCGCATCATGTGACTTTCCCTCTTTAACCAGCTATTTTGGCAATGAATTATCTGTACTGGTTCTGGCCACATGATCATGCCACTGGCAGTGTGGATAGATGGAATAGACAGTTTGTTATATTTATCATGGAATGTGTATGTAGCAAGATCTGCTACTCACAGTCGATTACCCTCACATATGGTGAATATATATCCACACCTGCTCTCTCTCTCTCTCTCTCACACACACACACACACACACACACACACACACACACACAAACACCTACTCGCATGGCATGTCTCAGAGGCCTTAATGACTTTTATAAGGTTAGCTATTTAGACAGGGCCTGTGGCCACCTGTGGTGTGCATGTTGGCAATTCCTCTGCAGACCAATTACACACACATAAAGGTCCCCTCTCAACTTCCTTGTTTCCTCTCATGTCCTCAAATTAGATCTCCCTCTCTCTCCTCCCGCCCTCCCCCTTGCTGAGTTTAATGAACAAGGGCTCCAAAGGTCAAATGCGGTGCCATCAATCTGTGCGAGTGTATGTGTGCGTGAATATGTTCAAATACATTTTTATGTTTATGTGACCCCCAGGTGTTTTTGTGCGAGAAGTTAAAAGATGACCTTTATGTGCACCCTATACTTTGCTATACTCCCCTGGGTCCCACCTATAGCTCTTGATTCAAGGCACTTAATAAGCTTGTTTGTAGCTGATGAATGGGGACCCTCTGCTTTCTGACATTTTATTCATGTCTAATGTGAACTTTATTTTTAGAAATGAAATGTTTGCTATTGGCTACAGGGCCAATTTGCAGGATTTGGTTGGAAGTTTATAGTTTACATTAAAAAGTAAAATAGTAATTATTTGTGTA